CTACTACTACTATTACTATTATTATGGATGTTGAGGACAAATATTGCGAAAGCTTTGGCCACGTGTGCTATCAAGCGGCGGAAGAAGTAGATGAGAATTGCTGCCTGGTTGCATAGGTTGGATTGAAGAACATGAGCTGCCAGACATCATTTGTATCCCAGGCGCCGTGAAGTACACCTCCGGATGCTCAGCTGCAGTGGAAGTAACTACCGTCGGCTGAGTCTCCTAGTAGCGCCCTTCACTACCTCCATGCGCAAGGATGTGACGTTGCGATCGCGGACACATCAGACATGCTTTGCACATGTCGTCTTCCGCAGGAGGATTCTCGTCTGCAGGCATAAGCTTTCTTTAGACAGGGCTCGGGAGTGTTGGAGTTTCCGTGATCTCAGTTTCCAGAAATCTGAGCAGCCGAGTTGGACGAGCCAAAGTGCGACTGGCCTGGCCCAGAACCTCTTCCTCCAAGCCCACCGACCGCAGAGGCGTGCTGCGCCAACTTCGCAAGCTGGCCTAACGCGGCTCGGAGAGGAAGAGCTTCAGAGTTCCAGGTCACCAGCCACAGGGACTGTTCCATAGGTTTCCCGAGCCCCGTGCCACACGCATAACATTCATTGAAGCGGTCCTGTGCCCTTCGCAGTTTGTTGATGCTTTTTGCTTGGGGTAGGGTGCAGTGTAGTTTGGCTTGCTGTGTCGCTCAGGTCGACAACGGCGTAACATGCGACAACTGCATGGCCCTTGTTGAGACGGCTCCTTATGGCAATCGGTGCGACAGATATTGCGAAAGCTTTGGTCACGTGTGCATAGAGGCCGCAGAGGAAATGGACGAGAATTGCCAGGTCAAGTACAAGAAGCCTTGCGACCAGCCCATTGAAAGCACCTCGGACATGCTGTGCAAGTGCGTCAAGGAAAACGCACCACCTTTCTGTCCAGTGCCTCCGCCGCCGACTCCTGAACCGACACCCTCCCCGGATGCGAGAATTCAGGTGGTAGGAGACCAGGCAAAAATGGTAAGGTTTCATGACTTGTTTTTGCTGCTTAGTGGCCTCATGATGTCCTGAGTTTGCTGCTATTTGCTGGCTGCACCTCAGGAAACAAATTGCTTGTGGACGGCAAGCCTCTGCATTTGAAGGGTGTGGCTTGGAATCCTGTTCCCAAAGGAGGCAGGGACCACTCTCAGAGCACCAAACCCCTAAACCTTAGGTTTTATGGTTTTGAGGCCTAGAACCCTCATGACGGTTCAAGAGCCCTTTGCAGCTACTAGTCAGGCTTTGTCTACAAGCGTTTTGTACTTGGGCCTAGGGCCCAAGACCTTGGCCTCAAAACCCTCAATCCCTATATGCCATCCTATACCCTTATGCCCACAATCCGAAAATCGTCCAACCCATGAGCAATCAATTGACTAGGTAGGAAAACATTCAAGTAAAAACCAGGTGGTAGCAAGTATCCCCCTATAGCTAACCTTATGTAACCCCATATAACCCCAAACAGTAGTTTCCATTTTCTTTTCCGTTGATGTATGGAAGAGGCAACATGTGCCAGCTGGTGATGAGGGTCAACACCGTACCTGGTTTTGTGCGAAAACTGATGGGGGCCAAACCTCCACTGATACCCTCCAAACCTCGCATAACCGATAAGGGCCAACCCTATTTCAATGGTCTCTTCGCTATGAAAGGGATGTAGCCCAGCACTCATACGGACCCCAGGTTCTGTAACAGCAATTCAGCTTAAAAATGACACCAGTGTTTCGTAATACCCTAAACCCTAAACCAAAGCATTGTAATAACCTACCTGGTGAACTGGAGGCCGGCATCCAGCCGACCTGGACTTCGCTCGCTTCGTAGAGCAGGCCTTAGCCAATTGCTTCACTGCTGTTTGGTTGGGCTCCGGCTTGTTAAGGAACTTCAAGTAGGTTACTATAATAAGGGAAACCTGGTATATACTACATTCCCATACTATGGTAATTCAATTCAAATTAAATGCCTTAACAGCGACCCAGTTAAGGGGGAGGGGAGGGGTGAGCGTGGGTACTAGAATAGGTATAACATGTGATTTAGATAGGGCTAGTTTGAGCAATGCACCACTACTCCACAATAGGCTTACCCTGAAAATACAAGTCTACAAGCACGAGGCCATAAAGTCCATAAATCATACTTACGAAGCTTTTGGGAGTCCTGAAAAATGTGATGCAGGCTTTTTTCGTGATTGCCCCAGTGAAGGTGCATGTCCAACATGCATGAATACATGCATGGGGTGTTCCTTTGCTGCATGCCATGTTCAAGTGCTGCCCTGTACAAACTCAACGCCAATTACACAGCACCACGCGACAAGGCCCAAAGTCAAGGCTTGCTCCGTTCACTTCACCAAATCAAAGCTGTAGTCATGGGGAAGTGGAGGGTGGGGTGTTGCCGCTGTCGTGTATCCTACGGGTATATAGGTAGTGCAAACTGTCTCTGCTACTCTCAACGAAGTATACTTATGCTATCGAAAAACCTCCATGTTGAGCAGGATTCGCAAATCATGCAGAGCATGGGCATCAACGCGGAGCTTTGGCTTGACTTTAGTCCGGGAGCTGTCAGCTACGGCAGCGGGGTGAACTCAGCAAACAACCGGTGCTGTCACATGATCTTAAGCAGGGGTACCGTCGTTCACAATACAGAAGAAAATGTATTCTCCCCATGCTTGTAGTGCTGCAGCATGCATGCTTGCAAAAAGATTGCATTCTTGCAGCACCTCACAAATCCATCACATGTACCACACCCAGCCCTCACCAGAATTCAGCTAGAAAAGATAGACGACCCCCGGCAAACCTAGATCCGGACGTATGAGCCCATCACCGACAAGTGGGTCTTGGATACTCTTTGGAGCAGAGGCCAGGCAGGACATGCTCATGCCAGGGTTCCATGCCAGGCCTCCCGGGCCAAAAACAAACTTAAGGAACGCGCCGTGAGTCATAACAGGGTCTGCGTTGGTTCTTTTGATGCCGTCTGGCAATTTAAGACCCACAAGAACATCGTGCCCGCCTTCTCAGATACTCGCAAGGTGCAGTGGTCCTGCAACGCTTAGACAGCAACATAGACGATTTTGTTTGCAAAGTAGGAGGAGGGCCGTCCCGGACCGCTTCGCTTCCCTTCAGTGTTTTCGTATTGCGCATCATCCACAACAACTGGTGATCTGCAGCAGTCATCCATAATCATAAGGTGACGGCAGCAAAATGGCGGGAATGCTGGTTCATGCGTAATCTTCTTGCGCTGACAGTTACAAACAGTACTAGCGGAGCCACCGCACGAGAACCACAACACACTCACGCAGGGTCATGAAGTATAGTACTCTTAGTGGCTGAAACCTGTCACCCGGAAACCGTCATCAGAGCCAAGAAGCTGCAGGCATTTGGGTGGTAAACAGTGTCTACAACTGGGGCGGCGCATCCGCACAGTCAGCTGCAGACCCAGTGAAGGCTGTGAAGGCCTGCGAAGCTAATTCCATCCTGATGCAAAGCTTAAGGTTTGGAGTGTCGAGCTTTTTGCAGGGGATCAGGGTTCAAGGGCAAGAGGGAATGATGCAACAAGACCTGGGGCCCACATTGACTTTAGAAGCTTTGCAGATCTTCCCGGATCGATTTGACGGTCCTGGGGTGACATTTCTGTCGTCGGTTTCTAGTTAATCCCATGTTTCATTACCATGTCCACAGTTACTTCATGATGGTTGTCAGGAGTCGGCGACATTGTGTTGCCTCCTTGTTGGCGTTGGGTCAAACAATTTTCGTGACCTGGGTGTGGTCTCTCAGCTAGTCGTAGAGTACCTATGGTCGTCATTCAGAAGTTCTGGGGGACAAGCGAGCCTTGTGTGGGAATCATGTAGGGCTTCCTCTGGATCACTCTAGGATCGTACGGTGTGGGACTACAAGTCAGAGTTGCAGATCTGTTTGGATGTCTTGCAGCCAGTGGGGTTTCAAGACATAGCTGCAGCGAGATGTTGAACGCTCCGCCCCTGAGTGTACTGCCTAAGTTACAGGGATGAGTCAGTATGAGTGAAGGTGAGAGCTCGATGGCAGCACGATCAGATCAACACTTGTTAATTCCAGGTCCTGTGGCCTAGACCTGGGACAACTTAGTACCACCACCAGGGTGAGCGTAGCATTGTGTAGACAACTTGAGGCAAAGCTTGCAGCACAGTGGACCGCGCCCTGTGTCAGGATCACCCTGCCATCCTGATGTGGTCCATTGGATTCTCGGACATGTGAAATCAGCTGTAGTGGGCTGCTGGTGTTGTGTCTTTAGGTGGCTCAAGAACACTGGCAGCGTCTTTCTTACACTGCGATGGCTATCTGCGCATGTAGGAAACGAATGGAACTACAACGGCCTCTACGTGGGCATGAGCTTTTTTGACTGCATTGCCAAGCTCCGAGATGTGGCCCAGGTTGTGAGGGCGTTGCTCACCTGAAGCAGCAGAATAACTCTGAGTTGTTGGGATGCACTTGTAGTCCACCGCAACTAGATAGAACATGGAATTGCCCAAAATCATAGTAAGATCGCCATATAACTCATATTCTATCTACTTACCTGGGACTGCATCCCTCACTGCGTCCTAGGCTGGACACAAGCCATCCCATTTCCTCCATCTATGGCGACACTGGGAAGCTGGACCAGGCCGTCGAGGCGCTTCCGCTGATTGACGTTTGGGGCATCAATGCCTATCGCGGCATAAGCCACTTGTCCTGTTGGTTTTCATGTCTGCAGGCTTCTTGTTCCATTGCAACTTGTGGAGGATCAGGAAAAGCAAGGGTAAGAGCAAGTTCTGTTGCAGGCAGTGGAACTGAGGCTTTGGCAACATGTTCGGAGAGTACGACCGGATTACCGGAAAGCCCATGTACCTGGGACACCTGGTGGCAGATGCGGTCGTATCTGATGGTGTGTTTGCTATTTCAAGCAAGAACAAGGAGCTGCGAGAAGAAGCTCAGGCACCGACCTGAAACACCCTAAACTTGGGTTTTCAACATTTCCAGCATTCCCGGGCGCAGGTAGGGCAATCATTAGACATCACATATACACTTTGCGTTGGAGGACGAGGCGTTGGCGGCTTCCAACCTCATAGACAGGCTTCACGGGACAAAATTTGCGAAGCGCGCAGCTGAGGAGAATACGGGGCCGACGCCTACAACGCCAAAATCCCCGGCGAGGAACGAAGATTCGTAGACACCATGGTCATGACCTGCCAGTTTGTGTGCAAACAAGAGTTGAGTAGCAGAAGCCCATTCGAGATCATGCTTCAGCTGAGTTGCTTGCTGCCACAGGCAAAGAAATGTATAGGGACAGGATGTCAGCAGCATCAGCTGCTGCTGCTGCCAAGTCCCACGCAGAAATCCGAAGACTGGCTGAACACATAGTGCAGCATCTGGAAACCCCAACATCCCTGATGAGGACCGCGAGTCTCAGGCCAAGGCAACGAAAGAGCTGACTGCCACTTGGTGCTGAGATTGGAGGGGCCCACTGAAATACGAGGTCTTGCCCGTCTTCTCGTTGTTGGGTTTGGGGAGCATTCCAACCTCACATGGCATCTTCTCACGATCAGAATCTGCTTAAGCACCCTGCCCACACATGCAGCCTGAACACTGGGCAACCTGAGAGGGGACCCGCAATTAGAAATGCAAATGACATAGGTCAGAGGCATAAGATCCTTTTGCCAAAATTTGCCAAGACATTCTGATTCTCTACCATGGACAGTAGTGAGATGTAGTGAGACCGTTGTGAGCACTGATTGTTCAAACAAGTCTTCCCATTCGTGGAAGATGGTTGCTGTTTAAATGGCCTGCATGTAGGATGCAATCCGAGAGTTCCTTGCAGAAGTCATGGGTTCCCCTTCTACAGTACGTGGGGATTGTCCTAAATTACTGTCAATACGGGGTCCCATATTTAGGTTCCTACTATAATACGGGGCCCTATATAAATTTCCCATTTTGGGAACAGTAATTTAGGGAAACTTCCCCACATACCACCGCCTCTAAGCTCCCCCTCACTTCGCCTTGTTAACTAGGCCTGAATAATCTTAAATTTACGCAGAACCTGATAGGTGCAGGAACGGTCAGTTTTGGCCTGTTTCTAAAACAGACATTCGGGCTGCGCTTGCTGGTAAGGAATTTCAATTAAGTGACCACAGCAAGGAAACGCTACTATCTACTATATATGATATTACCATAATATGGTAGCTTGAATTAAGTTTCTTAGCAGCAACTGGGGAGTTCTCTTTACTAAGTGAGTTAGCTGAGTTAGCCCTATCCACGTTTGGGCTGTAGTCAGCACCCCTCAGACGTTCCTGAATGACCACAGGGATTCGGGTTTAAGGGATTGTCTAGGACGTCACACAGTCATGGTTCAGTGCAATGGCTTGCACAAGGGTTTTTGAGCGTAGCTCCTGTGTCTCCTTTTCTGCCACCTGCCAGGAGGAGATTATCAGCCACACTTCCGTCCTGAATCGCTGCCTGGATTTTTTTGAGATCGTCATAGACTTTCAGCTTAGAGTGAGGCTCATTGCCGCGTAAAACGCTTGGTTTAAAGAAGCAAGACAACCCCAAACTGAGATCTAACAGAATACTCCGAGACGTATCCATCTGAGCTCAGAAACGTACATGTGGGGGCTGTTCTGAAGCCTTGAGTGTCATTCATTCGGTGTATTCCACGCGTTCTTATGCCACGCGTTCTGCCACCTGTGCATTTTCAAGGTGGCTCGTGTATTGGCGGCTTCGTTTTTGAATTCAGCACCCGGGCTGCAGAACAGCAATCAAGGCATGCGTTTGAGCCTTGTCAGCTTGCAACGCGATCCAGACTTCAAAATACTTACAAGGATGGATAGCTTGTTGAATATCATGCTTGAATGTGTCTGCGAACTGCAGATGATGAATGGCACAAAGACAACGACGGCAGCCCTGACGACCACGACACAGGCGGTGTAGCACCCGGTGGTGGGCCGTACCCTGACAGGACCTTCAACGAGGACTGTGCAAGGGGAGCCGGGCAGGTGCATGCAGGGGCAGTCAGGCCTGAGCAGAGCCCCTACAGATGTATCTACAGATATGCTTGTCAAGCATGCAAGCACACACATCGCTTGCAGGCGTGCGTGCATTCAATATGTACGGTTCTGCAGGAGTGGTGGGGCCTTGTGACTATCGACCGCGAAGTCCGGCCAGCTGGCAGGGAGTATGCCAAGACGGAACTGCCGCAAGCGCTTGCGCAGGTCCAGGCTGTGACCGGCTGAGATGGGATCTGCCAGAAGAAGGTTTAAGGCGGAAAAGCTTGCTTTTCCCCATCCTTGTGGCAGATCATCTCCAACATCTGGAGATTAGATGATGCGGGCGGCTAGCCCTTAGGGCAGTCCTTTGGCCTATATTCAAGGCTAGTACAAGCGTGTAGAAGCCGCATGCCAGCACTGCATGTGGCACTTGAGGCTGGCACTCTTCCCCTTTTGCGGGTGACCCCTCAGTGTCTCATTACTACTGGGCCATGGTCTCTTGCATGTGATTCTCATCGCCTGGTATGCTGAAGAGTGTAAACAGGCCCTTGTGCTAAGCTGCACAAGATCAGCAGTTGAGCAGGCTGTGCACGTAGTGCTGTATTCCTTTTCTGTACAGAGATCACCTGGATCCAATAAGTACGATCTCCTGAATTTTACTGGCTGCACCATGTGGCCCTTCCTTGCCTGCCGCCGACTTCCCGTGTCATGGGCCTGCCAGGAGGTTGGGTGAGAGCCCTGAGCCCACGAGAATTGTTCAAAACAGTCCAGTCTGCGAAATCCTCCAGGCCTGATTGGAGAAGACAGCTGCAGGCTAATGCAGAGCCTGATGTAGCCAAAGCTGCTCCTACTGCTCCCCTGCCACGACAAAGATGCCTACATAAGCGATTCATCCATGTTTATGCAGAATGTTAATATGGTATCATGCAAGCCTTTCTCTTTCTAGTTCACGAAGCAGGGGAGCACAACAGCAATTCAGCCCTTGCATCCTCTGGTTATGCTTGCCTTGAACGCTGAATTCGCATCAGCATTGCCAGATGGTACAAAGTGTTCTTGAATTGGGCACATCACCCCATGCTATGCGTATGGGCCATGACGTATGATCTGCATAGTGCCACATGCTTCATGCCTCTTCTCGGTACTGTGGCTCCTGACAGTTTTATAACTCTGGTGTGCAAGTGTACTGGGTGGAACGGGCAAGATGCATAGCTTCATGCCGCAAAGCCGAATGCTCAAACAAGTTCAGATACCCAAGATCAAGGAGCGGAGATGACTGCTCCACCATGACCTATTCACTCTTGACTCTCGACAGAGAGCAACCTGGTATTATGCTGAAGCAAAATGTCTCGCAACAAGAGCATTCTGCAAAAGACTGACGCATTCCCTCATGGCAAGCAGTCCCCAGCAAAGAGCTTGGCTGCGACAAGCCATGCGCAAGCGTCCGCTGCAGCGCCTGTTGCCAACCTTGGCGGCACTGATGACGAGCGCGGCTGGTCAGCACAATCAAATTTATGAGACGCTTATGCTGAAGGCCTGCATGACAGGAATTGGTGATACGGCCTGATAGGAGAAACGCTTCTTGAGGTACGGTGATTTGTTTCATGGCGGCTTGTCCTTTCCTGCAGCTGTTTGGGCAAGTTAGTTGGACTGAGGTGATTCTCCAAAGTCCAAGCTTTGTGACCTACAGCAAGAGCCGCCACGAGTCATGCCGGTCTGAACGCAGAGCCACGACCATCCAGGACCGTAAGAATGGCTGTGCAGCCAGGTTTTGTAGCCATTTGTTTGAGTCAGAGCAAGGATTCGGGAGGTTTGCGCCTGCATGCCTCCCGCGCGGTACTGCACCTCAGCATCGTCCCAGAGCCGGGCCCCGCCACTGCCGGTATCCCGGGGCCAGGGCTTCCGCCGGGCGTGAGGTCACTGGGCTTCTTGGGCCGGACCATCGGTGGAAGTTTTGCCATCGAGTGGGATGAGAGCCCTTTTGGCCCATACATGGAGGCCAGAATGATCAGAATGTTGGGCACCATCTTCCAAAACGTCCGCAAGCAAAGTAGCAGAGCTGATGCCTCTACTTTGGCAGGTTGGGCTTCTCAGCAGTCTGGTGCTGGCTGCTGGCGCTTGGGGTGCGTGGGCCTCCCACGTATGGGTTGACAGTGATGAAGCGACCAAAGGCGGCCGAGAGGTTTGGGGACTGCCTACATCCCAGTGCACCTTTGCAGCAGTGAGGTTTTTCTTGCATCAAAGAAAGCGATGTGCGAGCCACATCTCGGCACGGTGGCAAAGTGTTCGTCTTATAATGCTCAGGCGAGATCAGCATGCAAGCCTCAGAAGAGACCGGCAAGGCTGCTTTTTTGGGAGTGGGCTGTCTCGTCGTCTGGTATCTAGCGTGGTACCATAGTCCCATCCCATCTGCCGAAAACTTTGGGAGGATGATTCAAGAATGTTGTGGTAGATAACGCGGCTCCTGTTTCTGGGCGCACCCAGCCGAAGGTTTCCGGTTTCGGCTACGCCCCACTGGTTCATGTCGGCGACGGCTGTGGGCCTTTGGGCCGTGTGGACCGAAGTGCCAAAGTCACCGTGGGCCATCTCCCCTGGGAGAGCAAGGATGGCAGCAGAGCATCCTAGCAGGATATATTGGGATAATGGAAAAGAAAATGGAAACTACAGGAATTATACGGATTTTTAATACTATAATGGAGAATCAAATGGAAAAGAAAATGGAAAATGAAATGGAAACTGGGATATATTAGCTTGTGATTGGGAGCTTGCAATGAAGTATGTTGCTTTAGGAGTCCAGTGTATAGTATCTCGTCCTTGGAAATTGCTGGGTCCCCTGAAAGCTCCCTGCAGTGTCCAAGACCAGGGCCCCACCTGGCTAATAGGATACTCCCTTACCCTGACTATGAAACACTCCCCCCTTCCTAAAGTTTAGGTTTTAGGGCTTAGGGCCTCCCACCCCCCCAAATATTAAATGTTCACTACATATTATATTATACCAGAATGGGGAATATGGGAAATTAGGCGGGGCGGGCTATTATTAGGGGGAGGGGGTAACTCGGTATTCATTCATACCAAATCGCTGCAACACACGCAACACACCATCAGATACTTGAGCATCTCAAGCAGTTTTGCCCAGCCACAAAGGCCCACCCCAAATCTCAACAAGCAACACATAGGCATGCATAAGGTTGCCAACGCCACCCTCGCAGGTTGACACAGAGGTCGCAAGTTTCACGGGTCTTTCTCGTCCGTATCACAGTTCCTAGGAAGTTGATGGTCATGATGATTGGGGTGGTGGCGGGTTCACTTCTAGCTGCCGTGGCCCATCAATGTTATGCAAATGCTGGCGTCCTTGGTCATCATCAGCTGAGGTTGACACAACCCTCCCCAACCTAAGTGGTGGTCTCTACTTTTCAGAAGATGGGCGGACTGGATACACGGACGTTCTGTCCTACCCTCTCAAACTCCAGGCCGATGCGGAAGTCTAATCTTGAGGATATGTAGGCGTTGTATTGGGATGGAAAAGAAAATGGGAAACTACTTTTTAGGGTTTAGGGGTTTAGGGTGCTTAGGCCCTAGGCTTTTAAGTCAACTAAATGCTGCTCGTAAAATTTTCGAGGCGATTTGTGGATTTTCGCAAGAACTCACCCATCAAAGGATACGTGGGACCAGGGTTTAGGGCTGCCTTGTTGAGGGGGATCTCCCCCTATTCTTTTGATCTTGCTTCCCTTGACCTGACCTCACCTCAGGGGATTGGAGGCCCTGTCAAAGGAGCCATGGCTGGGGACCAGGGGTTTAGGGCTGACCTTTTTAGGGCTGAACGTCCCCCTATTCTTTTGATCTTGCCTCAGCTGACCTAAAATCTAAAAATGACTACATTTCGCTAGTTTGCGAGTTTTCGCAAAGTTCACAAAACCTAAAAATGCCTCGGCCCAGTCTTCTTGCCGGTTTACAGCTATAACATCTATATAACCCTAAATATTAGCTTCCATGTTCCTTTCCATTATCCCTATTAACCCCCAGTATAACCCCAATATACTATAGTACTTCCACTTTCTTTCCCATTATCCCTTAGACAACCCCCATTATGTCCCCAATATAACCCCCAATATAACCCCGACATAACCCCAATACAACCCTCATATATCCCTGGTATAACCCCAACATACTATACTAATTTCCATTTCTTTTCCATTATCCCTAATATAATCCCAATAT